CGTATACTCTTCCCACTATTGTCAACATTGTTTCTTAACATCCAATTAAACATACAGATTAACATTAAATCAGAATACACTTATTATGCCATGATATCAGGTAGCCTACGTCAAATACACACACTCTGATTAATTCAATGACAATGTATAATGAGAAGCAGAATGAAGGAGCACATAGTCATGCAACAAGTTGATTAATAATCCTTAATTATATCTTCACTAAAAATATATAAAGTTGACTTCCTTATGGTAACTCTTCTTAACTCCGCCACAAAATGGCAGTATGGCTCCATGTTAGAGAGTTGAAACTAATATTGAATTCTACACATATCAAAACTTTGTTTTAACAGGGTTGAAGCAAAGTACCATTCATATAAAAACATGATCATGTGCATGTACAAGTCAGGACATGTCAAACGGTCAACAAAGAGGGACAGTAAGAATAATCACTTGCAACATACATTTCAGTCTTATTACAATGAAACATTTGTTCAGCGAGCGGCAGCGTTGTGGCCCCCCTGGGGTCACATGAAGTGACAGGATGCGGTTATCAAAGGGTGCATTGTTTTTCAAAGTAGAGCTGGTAATCAAAGCGTTACGTCCGGGTGTAAAAGGGAACCCCCTTCATAAGTTAATGACTTACAAAGTCATTTGAATTATCTCACATGATCTTCTTGGAGACAAGCAGGATGCATCGCTCCTGACCGGGGTCAGTCCGGGGGCAGGGCAATAAACATCTGGCCTTGCTGATGATGGACTTATCAATATGCTCCTACAAAAGTTAGGGAGGCCCAACCCACCAACACATTTTGGGCACTGCAGGAAAGCCTTCCTGATCCTTGGCTTTCTTTTGTTCCACACAAACTTTGAGATTTCACTGTCCAGTTGTCCAAAGAATAAATTGTTTAGCACAATGGGAATACATTGGAACAGAAACATAAACCTTGGAAGGACATTCAATTTTACAATATTCACTTTTCCTTCCAGGGTCAGTGAGAGGTGAGACCATCTCCCAAGGTCTCTAACTGTACATTCCAAAAGTGTCTTAAAGTTCATCTTGAACAGGTCTGAGTATGTTCTGTCAACCGTCACCCCAAGGTGTTTAAATGAGCCCTGTACCACCTTGAATGGAAATTGGGAGTAGAATATTCTCTGAGCAGGCATGTTGATTGGAAATAGCTCACTCTTAGAGAGGTTGAGCTTATATCCAGAAACTCTACCAAATTCCTTCAGTAGGGACAAGATGTGTGGGATTGACTCAACCGGACTTTGAACATATAAGAGCAGATCATCTGCGTATAGGGAAGCCCTATGTTCTCTACCTCCCCTGTGTACACCCTGAAATTGACCAGACATATGCTTGGGGAGCCTTATACGGGAGTTTGTCCCAGGAAATGAATTGTTCACCAAAACCAAACTTTTTCATTGCAGTAAACAAAAAAAACCCACTCAACCCTATCAAAAGCCTTCTCGGCATCCATTGATATCACTATCTCTGGGATTGTTGAGTCTGGGCTAGGGGAGTGAATGATATTGAAAAGTTTACGGATATTTGAAAATAAAAACCTGTTTTTAATAAATCCGGTTTGTCTCTTGTGAGATCACTGACGAGAGAACTCTCTCCAGCCTGAGGGCCGGTGTCTTTGCCAATAGCTTGGAGTCAACATTGAGAAGGCTGATGGGTCTGTATGAACCTGGTTTGAGTGGGTCTTTGTCCTGCTTGAGTATCAAAGAAATGGAGGCCATATAGAAGGTGGGGGGGAGTGTCTTATCAGCCCCTGAAAATGATTCATTGAAAACGTCCAACAATAGGGCAGAGATCTGGTCAAGAAAAGCTGGACCTGGGGCTTTAGAGCTCTGCATGCATGAAAATGAATGATTTAATTCTTCCATGCTAAAGGGTTCATCCAGCATGGCCTTATTTCCGTTTGAGACTTGTGGGATAGGTAATTTGCTAAGAAAAGATTCCGCCTGAGTGGTGTCTACCACAGATTATGAAAAATATATTTGAGAGTAATATTGTAAATGTAAATACAGTGTTTATTTCCCTTGGGTCTAAAGTGGTTGCTCCATTGCTGGTTTTAATTTCAGTTATCATTTTAGAAGCGGCGGATTGTCATATCTGCAAAGCCAGGAGTTTCCCTGTCTTGTCGTCATATTCATACGATTTATGACGGGAGCGCAACGGCTGCTGGGCAGTGTCTCTTGTGGAGAAGGTCGAACTCAGTTTGGAGTACAAGCCTTTGCTCAGCAAGATCTGAGCTGGGCATAATTGAATAGCGGCTGTCAAGTCCAATAATTTGGTCTGTAATGTTAGAAATGCGCTCCCGTCTACGTTTGTTATCCATGGAAGAATAATATATTATCTGACCACGTATAAAACATTTTAAACATTCCCACAGTACACTGCTTGAGACTCCACCCACATCATTTGTCAACATAAAATATTCTGTTTTGATTGTGTTTTAATAAACTCAGAAAATGAATTATTTGATAACAGGAGATTACTAAAGCGCCATGTTCTGGTTCTATTGAAATTGGTGAACGCCATTTTCATCACATGGGGAGCATGATCCGAGATGACAATGGCCTCATATTTGCATTCCTGAATTAGAGGAAGCAGTTTACAATCAACCAAAAAGTAATCTATACGGCTAAATGATTGGTGGACTGGGGAAAAAAATGAGTCGGTTCGGTCTGAAGGGTTTTTAAACCGCCAAGGGTCCGTGATTTTGTAAGTAGAGAGAAATGCCTTAATGCATTTGCCCGACCTCGTCAGAGGCTGGGTAGAGGTAGCTGATCTATCCAGGCTGGAATTCAAAACACAATTAAAGTCCCCGCCTACGATGAGATAATATTTATTCAAGTCTGGTAGAGATGAGAAAAATGTGGTAAAGAATTTCTCATCATCAAAGTTAGGAGCATATAAACTCGCCAAAATCACTGGGATGTCGTACAAATGACCAGCAACCACTACATATCTGCCAAAGGGGTCTGCGTTGATGTATAAAGGGCTAAACTGGAGTTTTTTATTGATTAAAATAGCTGCCCCTCATGATTTCTGTGTAAAGTTTGAGTGAAATATTTGTCCTACCCAGTCTTTCCGAATGAAAAAATGGTCCTTATCAACCAGATGCGATTCCTAAATAAATGCAGTGTCAACCTGTAAATGTTTGAGATGTGATAAAACACGGGCCCTTTTTTCAGGCTTATACAGCCCCTTTACGTTCCAAGATGCGCAGCATACTGAATGCCCTTCTGATAAGTTAAGACTAGTCATGGTACATTATACGTTTCAGACAACACATGGAGAGAATGCCCATAAAGTAAAAATAAGATATGAAGCTCAGTGGTTGTGAAACATAAAAATATACAAATACACTTAAACATGTACCCCTCTCCCTCTCCCCGCATCACGCGGGGCAACCAAAAAACCTGCATAGCTCCCAGTGCAGGCCTTTGAGCTGTTATTGCTCCTAATTATGGTCTATAGCAACCAGTAGGCCAGGGCAAATTAAGGGAGAAAAAAAAACAAAACACACACAACAAATAATAGCATATGTTAAAAGAAAAGAAAAAAAATGGCAAACACAAAATAGGCTAGATACATGTCAATTTGCAAATTCTGTTTGTATTCCAGTGTCAACCTTAGGTAACCTACATTACATTAATCATAATGGTTGATTTGATTATTGTCTACTCACATTGTTCAAAAATCACACGCCGTTTCCCCGGTTCTGGGTGAAAGAATTTAATATTCTTTTCATAGAGGAGATGTTTCACCTCCTTGTAGGCGGCTCGACTCTTGGCCTTACTTCTCGTCAGATCCTGGACAAATCTGAGCCGGCGCCCAGAGAACTGGAGGTCTTTACCCTTGGCCCACTTCTCAAAGCGGGTCTTGTCCTGGTACCGCAAGAACTTCATTATGAAGGCGCGAGGTCCCCTGTCCTCCAGCCCGTCGCCGACACGATGCGCTCTCTCCAGCTCTGGTTCCATCTCGAACAACTCGGTGCCAGACAAGTCCCTCAGTAGCTTGGACATGAAAGCCACCGGACCCATGTGGGTCTCAGCTCCCTCCGGTATGCCAAACACTCTCAGGTTAGCGCGTCTGGAGAAAGCCTCCAACTGTTCCTCCATCCTCTCTATCTTTCCTTGCAGTTTTGTCACTTTGGGCGTTACATCATTGATTTTGGTGAAGTTTTCCCCCACCTTTGCCTCATTGTTCGCCACTCGTATCTCCAGAGCTGCAGGCTTGCTGGCGGCGTTCTCAGCCACACATCTCACCAGCGCGACACACTCCTCCACTTTAGTATTAAGTTCCTCTAAAATAGCGTCGCGAATAGAGTCTTTGATGGTTTGGGTTAGAATGTATGTTAAGGTTGCAAGCCGAGCATCCAGGGCTGCGATGGTTATTGGATCTTTGTCCATGCTGTGTGATTCTGTCTCAGTGTCACCGCACTTGCCTGCTGCTGCTCTAGTAAAGTGTTGTTTATTCGAGGGTTGATTTGTTTTTTCCTGCGCGGTGGCATCAAGCTCCTCTTTCAAAATGCGGCACGTCACGCTATTTCACCACTATTAAACAGCCCCGTGGCTTACTGGTTCAGGGAAATGATTTAGTTTGGCGGAGCTCTGGCTCACGGCGTCCTCCTCACGCCGCCATGTTTGAATCATTGTCTGCTGTCATGGACACATATGAGTCTGGACAGACATGGATGTAAACTGTAAGTGTAACTTGACTGGTGAAGCATACGACCACGAGGCAGTAATTCTGGTCATGAATCAGCTTTTAATTAGTTTGAATTCTTTGTGTTCTTTTTTTATTCTTAACTATTTTCAGTCCATCAAAACAGGATATTTCAAACTGTTTTATCATCAAATCCATAAAGTAAATATAAAGTGTCTCTTTGACAATAACAGATTTTCTCATATATCTGTCATGTCAGATTTACTTGGTGTGGACTCTCAGAGACTCACTGTGAAGTCGTGGCCTCAGCTCTGAAGTCCAACCCCTCCCATCTGAGAGAGCTGGACCTGAGTGGAAACAACCTGCAGGATTCAGGAGTGAAGCAGCTGTGTGCTGGACTGGAGAGTCCACACTGTAGACTGGAGACTCTGAGGTCAGTTCACTTGCTTATGTAGGTGTTTGTTTGTTTGTTTTTGGATATATATAATATAAATCCTTGACTGAGGTTATAAAGCTTTCAGTGTTTTCAGAAATGTTGTGTCTTTCCAAATGGCTGAACAGTTGGTTATGAAAGGCAGAGAAATGATGATTTAGAACATTTAGACACCATCAAGTTTGAGATTTATCCAAACAGAATTTAAGATTCCTGAGGTTCTGAGGTTTCTTTGTTTTCATGTTAACGTCACATAATCATTTGAAGTCACAGACCTTTAGACTGCAACAATAAGCAAATAAATAGTCTGCACTGGAAACATCTTGGACTTTAAGGACAGGTTGATATTCTTTCACACTCACACGCCCATTAGGACTGCACCATTAATGATCTGGATTCATACGTCTATGTGATCTCATTT